TTTGGTTTGAATTTGTTGTTTTAAAGCTGTCAGGCTTTTGGTCAGTTCTGATGCTGCTTGGCCTGAAGATGCTGCAGCCAGGTGGTGACCCTGCATGCAGTACCTGGCACGCAGCAGAGTGCGTAGAGCTGCGGCCAAATCCCTGAGTCTGAGAGCTGCCCACACCGACCAATCTGCCACTAGAGAGAATGAGCAGTGGACACTATCACTGATATAAATACTGTTGCAGGAATATAAAAAGGTATTTTTAAAATTTATTATGAGGAGTATAGAAACAGTTTAAACAGTAATATCACATCGTGCCAACACAACACAATTAATCCTCTTGCTGTTTCTTTCATTCATTCAGTGATTTAACATTACTTTCAGATTTCAGTCCACAGTAGAAATATGTGTGAAGCAAGCTGGTATAAACATGCATACACTGTAAATTGGACAAATGTTAGTTGAGTATCAAGACTGCTTTCCTAATCCAGCAAGTCTTTGCATTAATTCAAAGTCCCTTGAAGACTGACAGTGTCCCTAATGGGATGTGACTTCAGACAATCACTGTGGTCAAATGGATGCGGTCATGAGAAGATTCGTGGTCTTCATGTTAAGTTCTTAGTCTAGGACCCCAAAGCAGAGACGCACACACTGGTGAGTGGGACGAAGATTCTTGTAATGATAATCCCAGAGACCAAAACCGGAACAGCGGAAGCGGGCTGGAGAGGCAGGGAGCTGTGGCTGGCAGGCCAGCTGTCTTCCGGAGCACCTTGCACAGGCAAAAACTAGAACCTCGGCCGAAAAGTAGTGAGCACCATGCGGGTTGCGAGCATTGGAATATTCTGCGCAACTGGGCAGGAAGTGACGCGACCAGGTTAAATAAGGTGCTGGGGATAGCTGCAGTGAATTCAGGTGTGCCCTCTTGCTGCCACAGGAGAGGCCAGCCACACCGCCCATGCCACACCAGCTCTGCAAGGGAACAGAAAAGGCGGAGGGGGAACAAGGACAAAAAGAAGCACAACAGTCAGACAAACTAAGACCAAACCATAACACTTCCACCAGTCTTCTAAACTCTCAAGTGTGGTTCAACATATCAGGCGATACAGTGACCAAAACAAAGTACACACCATCCTTTCCCCTCAGCGTACCTTCCAGGTACTGCTTAGCTATATCATCAGTATTATATAGGAAAATGAATGCATCGAATAAACTTTAAAGGGCAGGTCGCTCCCAGATTTTAGTGCGCCATCTATCGGCGAGAGTTCGGATGGAACTGCCCGCGCGAAACTGCGCGCCTCAACACGTCTCTGTAGAAAAACTATGGCGAAATAATGTGTGAAGTTTCTATCCTTTGCAGCCCAGTTGTTGGTTAGGGTTGCCCTCAACATACCGGTCTATGGCGTTAAGTACAAGCTGCAGAAATTGTTCATGTTTTGGTTATGTGCACAGTAAAGAGTATGGCTCTGTAAAGTACTCTGGTGGACACAGAGAAACTAATTTAGCATGTCGTTAAAACCAGTTGTTGTTGGGTGCACGGTTGTCCCAACAGAAGCAACTAAAATCTGGGCGCCCGGTTAGCTCAGTGGGTAGAGCTGGCGACCCATGTACCAAGGCTGAGTCCTTGCTGCAGTGGCCCAGGGTTCGAATCCGACCTGCAACCCTTTGCTGCGTGTCATCCCCTCTCTCTCTGCCCCCCTTTCTGTCTGTCTTCAGCTGTCACTATAATACAGTTAATAAAAGCCCCAAAAATATACTATACTAAAAAAAAGAAACTTACAGTGTTTGCTTCAGTTTCCCATAA